TATTACTGCAGTGAAGTCGAGCTAATGGCAATGGCGTTATAGAAAAGTCAGGCAAATTTAATTTTGTCCTTAATGCAAAATATTAAGAAATTCCAAATATGTTATTTTTAATGTTTTAGAAAAATGTTTTTCACGGATCCGAGCTCTTTCGGACAGTTCTGGGATATTACCGCAAGAATGTTTTCGGAATTATTACCCACGGTTTGAATTTTGACGTTTGTCAATTTTGAAAGCCATGTCAGTGAATGCATCCGTATTGTTTTGCAAAAATATACCCAACAACTAATAGATGTAGAAAAAGTGTAGTATGAAACACGTTTGGTAATTATATATTTTGCAACAATTGTGGTAAACGGCATGCCTAATAAACGAGTGACTTAAAAAGTTTGGCAAACCTGTTGCATACTAGACTTTTTCTACGACCATTAGTTTTATGCTACATTTTTGCAAAGCACGAATACATTCCCGGACATACCCGCCATAATTAACAAACGTCAAAATTCAAGCCGCCGGTAACACGTTTGAAAAACTTTTGAACTCAAATGCAGTTTATCACAATTGTTGCTTAATATACTATGGTCTGCTCCCTTCTCTAAAATATCCAATTATACACTGATCGAGCGTGAAGAAAATGTCATTTTACGACCTCAGGTTTGTTACCTAAGATAAAATTCTGACGGTCACGTCACACGTCACTTGGTGAATGTAGTTGTCCTGTTTTGGTTGCAAAAATATAGTATGCAATACTTTTTTTTTATAAACTTTTAGAGTCGCTCGTTAACCAAAACTAGCCAGAACAAAACTCGTGACTCAAATGCCGTTTACCAAACTCGGTGCATAACATACTATTATTAATTATTAGTGTTATCACAAACAATTCGTTCAAAGAAGAATAATAATAAAAAAAAGCTATTTACTCCCAAAACACACAAATAGGTGTGCAAAATTGAAAAACAATATAATATAACATATTATGATTTATTGCGTGTGACCGATATTGTGACCTTCCGCTGCGACCCGATGATTTATTGTGGCATTAGCGGAGTATATAACAAAGAAAGAATCCCCTGCACTAAATAAAGTTGCCCTACAAAATGGATATCGACTACATTTACAAGAGCCATTCCAGTCAAAAGTTATTGAAGTCCATTTTAAAAGTACAATATTACCCACATAGTCAGTCCTCTCACTGTGGGTGGCGACTATTGCTTTGTTCTTGTTTGTGCAACTTAATTCGTCGAAAATGAAGGACGTGATGCTTTGGAATTGGAATTTGGAACTGCGTATACAGTGGGTCCTACGTTTGTTATTTAAATACATAGAAATACATTAAAAGAGAAATATGATATTTTTTGACATTTATATAATCCCTTATAAAAAAAATCTGTGTAGGTGACTTTATTTCTCTTAGTATTTCGAAATAAAATATGGTCTTCAAAAAATTATTTCTAAGTTTCCAAAATTTTCTCTTGATTGCTGTACTGCAAAAACAAAATATTTATTTTCCTTTTCTGGACACGCTGCATGTTTTTGTGGATTTTTTTGAGAACCGACTTCAAGCAATTGAAGAAAATAATCAAAATATATCCAAATGCGACGGATATGGAACCGGACAATCCGTTCTTAGAAAGGAGACGACAGAACAAATACGAAGGTCGAACATTTAATTAAGTGGCAATTTAAATACGTTAATTCTGCTTGTTACTATAGTAGTACTACGATTTGTTGTGAATTAACATAAACATTTCATTCACGTGCAACGGCTGCGTATTCAGCAGAGAGAAAAGAAGCCGACACACATCGTCTTGACCTTTCTAAATTGTCTTCGATCGGTTGGAGAAAGTACGCAATAAAAAATGTTCCACTCGCACAAATAATCAGGACTCATCTCTAAATAAATCAAGCTTTTAGGCATTTGCAAACAGGTTTGTAAAATATGTGTTTAAAAGCGGTTAGCGGTCTATACTTAAAACGAAACATGAAAGTAAATGAATGTAGTACGCAGACGATCATTAAATTCGTATCAACTTTCATTACGAAAAAATTATAATGATTCGTTAGGATGCCTTTATACCTGTATGGTCACGACGAAAGATATTTTTGCATAAGTTGGGAATGATTTGTTTACTGATTGAAAATTGGTATCTCTGGATTATATACTCCGACATTGATTGAATGGGTTGCCAAAGTGCCAAAAAAAAAATTCATCCAGGATCAGAATCGGAATCACTTTCACCATTGTTACTAACAATAACAACACTCCAATGAACGAAGGGCATAGTTTGAAACAAAACACTTAGAAATTAATATAAAAAAAATTGGTCTACGATAGAGAACGTTTATTGCAAAATTATTTGCTTCATTTGCACTGACAGCACTAAAAAATTGATCCTCCAATGTCTCAACCGAACCTCAAAAACTTTAACTATAGAAGGGGACTGGATTTTTTTAAATTCTTTGATTTTTACGTACTCTAAAATCACGCCTTTATGGCAGTCGAGAAAGAACATAAATAACTCACAAAATCCCAAAATAATAAACCATAAGCTGAAATTTGTTCATTTAAATTAAACGTTTTTCTAAACAAAAGACAATCTTAGTAACTTTTTCTCGAATGAATGGAAAACGACTGAAGGAATACGAGCCGGCGAGGTACCAGCAAAAGCAAAAAACTTCAGTGGAAAACGGGGGAACACCAACAATGACTTTGTGAATGCCATTGACGGAGCCCGATATTGGGCTAAACGGCGCTGAAATGGAGCATTCGGACTCGAAAAAGTAAAAAACAACAAAGGGCAACTATATGTCACATAGAAAAATTGTATCTCCTATAAAAGATCTCAGAAATTCTTGTGGAGTTTTAAGTTTTTACAAATACGTTGGCCTCCATTAAAACAGATATTTTGAGTAGTTTTATACTCAATCCATATTTGTCATATTTGTACCTGCTGCCTTTGTTCTTGAATAAGGTCTTGAAAATGGCACATACCTAACGTGAAAAAGTAAAACTGCAAATCTATTAATATATTCCAATCGATTTTGGGTAGTCTGGGCAAATCTTTAAGATCCTACTTTGGTAAAATCAGTATGTCAAATGCCAACTTTAACCGATTATTTTTTGCTCTATTCTTGTTCAGCTGGTTTCTCTAGTTTGTTATACTATCGACTGAGGTTATCTATCTGGCATGGTATTTTTGTTAACCTGAGGCGCAAGAATGTATCAATCCGCCACACTGGAAACTAATATTAACAGTTTGACTTCTAATACGTTTACATATTATTTTAGTCGAATTGTGAGCTTAAAACTTCACAGAGCCTAACTGGACTCTAAGTATATTATTCATGTAAAGCTATCGATATCCATTGTCTATATATCCTGGAAACAACGGTGCTTCGCCTATTAATAATAAATACTTGCAACATTTATTGACGCATGAAGAATTGGGTATGGAGCAAACCAGGCGTGGCCCGTTTTATAATTTGGTCCAATCCATGATGATAAGACGGAATCGTGCTTATAATGGCATAACGGAATACTCTATCCGATAGCTTTGTAGCAAGTTGGTAATTGGGCAAGTCTTAAAAACATCGCATCAGGTTTATCGACGTAATTGATTACCTATTCAAGATACGATAATTACTAAGATCTGGGATAATATTCAACACAACGTTTTTGTTTTCCATATTTCATGCTGGTAATGCTATTTAGAGCATATAAAACTAACCTATTAGCACGTTAGCTAAGTTTGCTGTTTTATGCGCTACTAATTCGAAAAAATAAATGCACACCGACCAATAATTAGAATACGTTAATTAGAATAACAATCTATAGGTTACTTTTCGGAAAGTGGATCACATTAACGAAGACCGCTTTCGCCGCCATGATATTGTTTTTCGGGCTTTTGAATCGTTAAATTTAAGAATCAGTTTTCGAAGTTTCAACCTGCCGATGATGTGCACTTTTAGTTTGAAAGACCGGCGGTTGTAAAGCCCTAACAAACCTTTTTTAAGCCTTGGTTAGTATGCAAACTTCGTAGACTCGATCCTCATTTAACCACCACAACGCGCGTCTCTCTAACCAAATTGGTATCATCAGTGATGATATATTGTTGGTAGGGGTGGCTGTAAACTCAGTACTCTATCTACCTTCCACCGCATTTTTTGATGGTTATTTCATAGCACAAAATGAAATATTTCGAAATATGAAGCGAATGTTTCCTGATCGCTACTCATATTTTTTGATTTTCTGCTGTGTGTATCTACAGCAGTGGCAGAAATAGAATATATTCTAGCAACTCAATATTTTCTGAACATGGAAAATTATATTAAATTGATATTTTATTTGATCGATTCAGTCTAGTTATTTGCTAGTAATGATTATTGCCAAACAATAGCGTTCTATAAAGTTATTGTTCCGAAAATTCATTAAAAACCAACGATGTTACACAAGCCGATACAACAATTTTTGTAACAATACTGACGCAAAACCGAACTGCGAATATTAAGCCGATTTGATTGCCGCGCCACCTACAAAGCTGTAAAACGCTTTTGAATCAAAATGCTATGTCGTCAACTTTGACGTTCGAATTTATCAAAACCAGCACTAAATAAAAATATTTAATTATTTCTAAGGTCAACGGAACCTTAATTGCTCAGTATCTGAAACTATTATAAGTAAATACCACCAATGCTACTTTATGCATATATCTAAAGGACATGATAAAATCATTAGAAACCTGGAATCAACATAAACAAAAAAATTGAGTATGGAGGGGACTAAAATTGTCAATTTGGAGGTTTTTTAAAAGGAACTAAGAAAAATTACAACATTGCCAAATCAAAAAATTTTTCACTTTTGAATTATTTCCCTACTTAAGGAACTCACTGTTGCGTATACATTATCTTGCTCTGCAGATTGCTCGGTTTAATTTCACCAATAAGACGTTTCAAGTAAAACTAGCGAGTGAATCCTGATTTGCGAGAGCATCGGAAAACCTCACCTTGTTCGATTACACCGACATTTACTGCAACTGGAAATAAACACATTAACAGTTTGTTCCGTCGAACTCACAAAATTGTAAACCGTAGCATCAAACTAGCTGGTAAAACTACAAATAAACGAGTCCCTAATATAATCGGGTTATCTCACCGGAAACACACGCGAGTCGCTTCACTAAAAACGTCGGACAACACCACTTCCAAGTTGCTTAACCGACCAAATCATCCGAAATCGAACGGTAACGCGAGCAAGTCGCAAACCAACTTTGCCCGTTAATGATAAAACTATCCGCTGGTAACACGGTTCCAAGCTTAGATCGTTTTGTTGCCGTGAAAACAACTGAAAGCAGATCGAAGAGGCAACGGCATCGTTCTCGCCGCGTGTGGATTGTTTTCCCCCTTCTTTTGGTCAGTCGCTCGTTGTGGCCTAGGATAAACTCGCTGATTACCTGTTTGATGTTTTTTCACCTGTTCGGAGCTAATGGCAGGTCCGGATTTGGACACTCCGGTTGCAATTTCAACACTGGGAACGCTGATAAACTGTAACATCAAAGATAACCGACAAAGACCTAATTTTGATGGACGTCAATACAGTAGAGACACTATAAATTTGTTGCTTGGTCCTGTGAAAATATACTTTTTATAAACGCACAGACCAGGCATTAATTTTTTTATGGCAATTTAGAGTTTTACTTTTTATTAATGCAGTAAGATTCAATTTTTAAATTTTACGTCAATTTGTTTACGCCCTATCTTGTAGCGTGTTTAAACGTAACTAGCTATTAGTTAATATACGAGGGCAGCGCCAAAGTTGACCGGCCTGAATATGAAAGAAACAAAGTTTTGTTACTCTAACTTATTTTATTATTTTTCAATATAATGCCCCTTACTTCAATACACTTATTACATCTCTTTCTTAACAACTCAATCCCTTTAAAAAAATATTCTTTTGGTTTGTCTGCAAAATGAGCAAAAACAGCCTCTTTTAACTCGACTTCATCGTTAAACCGCCGTCCACGTAAGTCCTTTTTCAAATATCCAAACAAATAGTAGTCGCTGGGGGGCATATCTGGACTATAGGGAGGATGATCTATCTGTTGGAACCCACACTCTAAAATGGCAGCTAGTGCAACACCAGCAGTATGGACAGGTGCATTATCGTGCAAAAGACGCACGCCTCTGGTCAGTTTTCCTCGACGTTTTACACGTATGCAGTCTCGCAATTTATATAATAATGTTGCGTAATATTTACCATTGACAGTGGTGTTAGTTTCTTTAAAATCTATCAAAAGAATTCCTTTACAATCCCAAAAGATCGTGGCCATCAACTTTTTTGTTAACTGGCAGACTCTGAATTTTCTTGGAGGTGCTTCACCCTTACGACGCCACTCCAGTGATTCTTTTTTCGATAGAGGATTGTAATAGAGAACCATAGTTTCATTTCCCGTCGCAATAGTTTCTATCACAGGCTTCGGTTCCGACCCACAGAGTTCCAAAAAAGATCACGCACACTCAACACGGCGTTGTTTTTGAATAGCCGAAAGGATTTAGGAACCCATCTTGCACTAACCTTATGCATACCTAAATGATCATGCAGTATTCGACGAACACTTGTATCAGAAAGCTTAGTAATTTCTGAGATTTCCTTGACCTTTAAACGTCGATCACTCAATACCACCTCTTCCACAATCACAACAATATCTTCCGTTATGACCTCCACTGGTCGTCCATCTTCGAGGGACTCGTGCCCCTTTCGAAAACGTTTTGCCCATTCTTTCATTACAGAATACGAAGGAGAACTTTGGCCGTACACACCATCCAGCCTTTCTTTAATAATTTTAGGTGCTAACCCTTCTTTTGTCAAAAACTTTATGACTGCTCTATACTCAATTTGCGTTATTTGCGTCATTTTTTCGGACACGTCGTGTTTAAAGTGCTGTCAATAAAAAACTATTTGAAGCAAGACTTCAATTTTTTTTTTGCAGCCTACTAAGATATATATTTAAAAGAAGACAAAGTATTATCGTATACTCCAGCTGCATCTATGTCAGGCCGCGAAATTTTAAAAAAGGGAAAAGTTCGGCTCATGTTCCTAAAATTTCACACCCTAACCTGAACTTTCCAGCTATACAGCGATCTATGCACATTTAACTCGTGTTCATAAAAATCTAAAAGGATTTTAGTGTATCGAAGCAGCAAAGTCCTATTGGTTGAAATGATGATGTTGGTTTCAATAGTGGCATGTCTTACCAGCATAGTAAGGCCAGGATTACAAATATAGATACGCTTTGCTCTCGCTTTGTGACTAAGTTTGTCTATAATGTTTTATAACTAATGGTACAAATTCTCGAAAATTTGTGAAATTGTATTATTGTTAGCGTCATTGAATGAATAGATACTTATTATATGAAGCAGTACACCAAATCACCCTCATACCGATACAGCACAAATACGTACATAGTATATATTGTAGACATCCGGATCTGTACATACAGATGTCCATCGGACTTCCGTGAATGTGTGCCTTATATTCTATGAATTTCAATTTGTCATAAATTTGAATATCTATCCAACGTTTAAGGACGGAGTTCCAACGCACATCAGATTACATACAATTGACTTAATATGGACGTTTTTAATATATTAGCCAGGCATTCATATTCAAATTCATATCTTAAATTATTGTCAATGGACATTATTAAATAATGTCGATTAAAACAGTTTTAAGTTTAAATACATATTTTACCAACTATAACATCGAAGCAAAAGTCAGTATAAAGGTGCATTCTCAAATAAAGCAAACAAACAATTAATTAAAATATTATTTTATTATATTATTATTACCACACTAGTAATATCAATATAACAATTATTCATCATTATTTGTTAATGATGTCTGCAAATGAATTTATGGTTCAAAAAATATTTAAAATCTGGTACACGGTATTTTTTATAATTTATTATAAGGGGTGTTTTTTTTCGATGTATAGAACTTTAAGTTGCAACGATGGATTATTCGATTGATATGAATTTTATTTATCCGTATTACATTACAATTTAAATATGATTTCTGGCATATGACCGCCACGGCTGGCGCGGATGTAGTCCAATCTGGACGTCCAATTTTCGATGACTTTTTCCAACATTTATGGCCGTATATCGGCAATAACACGGCGAATGTTGTCTTCGAAATAGTCAAGCATTTGTGGCTTATCCGCTTAGATCACATAGCCCCACAGAAAGTCTAGCGGTGTTAAATCTTGGAGGCCAATTCACAGGTCCAAAACATGAAATTAGGCGGTCACCAAAGGTGTCTTTCAATAAATCGATTGTGGCACAAGCTGTGTGACATGTTGCGCCGTCTTGTTGAAACCACATCTCCTGGATATCATGGTTATTCAATTCAGGAATGAAAGAGTTAGTAATCATAGCTCTATACCGATCACCATTGACTGTAACGTTCTGGCCATCATCGCTTTTGAAGAACAAATGATTCCACCAGCCAATAAAGCGCACCAAACAGTCAGTTTTTCTGGATGTAACGGTGTTTCGACATACACTTGAGGATTAGCTTCGCTCCAAATGCGGAAGTTTTGTTTGTTGAGGTAGCCATTCAACCAGAAGTGCGCTTCATCGCTTATGAAAATCGGGAACAACGGCAATCTCGTTTTGGGCCCATTCGACGAATCTACGCCTTACTTGATGATCGTTTGGCTTCAATTCTTGCACGAGTTGGATTTTGTAAGCACGTAAACCAAGATCCTTCCGCAAAATCTTCCATAAAGTGGATGGACACAGATCCAATTCCTGTGCTCGATGGCGGATGGACTCATTCGGGTCTTCCTCAATGCTACGCTCTACAGTAACAAGCGTTGTTCAGGCGTGAGTCTATTCATGATGAATTGCCAAACCAAACTGAGAATAAATCACTTGACAGCTGTTAAATCGGTCCCTATCTTGAATAGTAATGCCAACTTAAACTTCTATGCATCGAAAAAAAACACCCATTATTAAGGAAACGCAAACCTAAAACTCGGCAAAAATGTCGAAATTAATAAGTGAATGTCCCAAAAATACGAATAACTTACATATCTTTTTAATTCCCATCATCACATTACATGAGTTTCCATGAAACAGTTAGTCAGTACTTACAGCGCATACAATATATAGCGCACCAAAGTACTACGTTGGTGAATCATGATACTCATTGATTGATATGATTCCATTTGCGATGCCAGGAGTTTACAGCATTCCATGCATATGCTTCAAAGAATACATTGGAGAGACCGGACGAAAAATATCAACTAGGCTCAAAGAACATGAAACAGCCTTATGATTAAGAGAAATATACCCATCAGCAGTTGCCGAACATAATCACGGACATAAAATTTTGTTCGATAAAACTAAAATTGTAATCAATTCTTCTATCAACGAAAAATCCGATATATATATATATATATATATATATATATATATATATATATATATATATATATATATATATATATATATATATATATATATATATATATTCGCCGCAGCGGCAGAGCCTAGAACTAATTATGATTTGTATTTAGTATCCGTATTAGCAATTTACCAACAACATTTATGTCGTTTTCGAAATGGTTCAGAACTTGAACTTTGCTATTCCAACATTGTTTCAAGACTGGTTTAAAATAGATCAGGAAAACATTTTTCGGATTTTTTGGGAAACGAGCTAAAGCTAATTTAGCAATAAGTGTCAAGTAACAGTAGCTAAGTATTGTCTATGGTCAGCTGTTGTTATCTAAGCTTCTGTGAAGTATTCTTTGTGAAATATGTTCACGTTGCTTGCTAAAGCTTAAATTCCTTCTCAGTGATCATTACAATTCCGAAACATCACAAACACTGTTCCAGCGAAACATTCCAAATTCCAAATTAATTTTGAACTAGTTGATAATCCGCGCATTTGGCAAACGTTGGCAAATGTTGGAACAAATATATAATAGTTTAAAAAAACATCGGAAACCGAAATTTGTAAACACCTAGGAGACAACACTTCATTCAAGTCCATTAATAGTAGAGACAGTAAAGAGTCATTTTATTGCCTGAGAGCGTAAAAGCACTTTGGTGCGCTCTTATTTTATCCTATCCTATCCTATCAACAAGCTATGTCATTCTCCTGTGATATTTTGACCTACTATTAAGTAAGAAATCTTTCATTCAGGACACTTTTCTTAATTGGTTAAATTATTACCCAAATCCGCCAGGCAGAAGTAATCTAATCTAAGTGTTGATTTGATGAATCATTAATTCTTTAAATGTCCGGCAACATGCAATATAAAT